GGGTCGCCACAGCTCTTGGAAAAGAGGGATGGTCAATGGGAGAGACTAACTGATGGAGCAAAGGACTTAAGAGAAAAGAGGATGTAGTACACAGGTCAAAGGATTGGCCTCAAATACAAGTGATTTGTTTATATATTGTGAGAAGGGGAAGTCAAAACACATATATAAATATAGGGATATAAAGGAACACATATATAAATATATATTCTAAATATAGGAAGGGCAACTTAACAGTATATTAATGATATACAGTCTCTTTAGGTCAATAATTTTATTTGTAGACATTTACCTCCTTAGGAGATAATGATAACTAAATAAAAGACTTAACTATAAGAATGTTGATGACAGCATTATGTGTAAAAGTGAAAAATGAAGAAATCATAAATAATCAATAATCATTAATTACAAAAAGTTTTAGGTTTAAAATTTATTCAACAAGAAAATGTTTGCATAAGAAGAATAGAGTGATCCAAAATAAACAGCCTAATGACATATTTCAAGTTCTCAGAAAGAACAATTCATGAAGGAAGAAAAAGACCTCTAAAATAAAAATTATAACACTCTGAAAAAAGAGACAGAAGAGGATATAAGAAAATGCAAAGATATCCTCTGCTCCTGGGTAGGAAGAATCAACACAGTGAAAATGGCCATACTACCAAAACTGCTATATAGATTCAATGCAATCTGGATTGAAATTTTAACAGTGTATTTTACAGAACTAGAAAAAATAATCAAAAAATTGATTTGGAACAAGAAGAAACCTAGAATAGCAAAAGCAATTCTAGGCAACAGAGACATGACAGGGGGTATCACAATCCCTAACTTGAAACTATACTACAAAGCTGCTGTGATAAAAGCATGGTACCAGCAAAGAAAAAGACGTGAGGATCAGTGGAATAGATTGGAAGATACAGAAACAACTCCAGATGTACCCAGCTACCTCATCTTTAACAAAGGAGCCAACCATCCTCATTGCAGGAAAGACAGCCTCCTTAATAGATTGTGTTAGAAAACGTGAATTTCAACCTGCCAAAGATTAAAACTAGACCCTTGTCTTTCACCATGCACTAAACTAAAATCCAAGTGGATTAAACATCTAAATATTAAAACAGAAACACTAAACTTGCTGGAAGATAAGTTAGGCAGAACTCTCAAAGACATTGGCATAGGAAAAGACTTTATGAACAAATCCTCAGTAGCACGGGAACTAGCAGAAAGAATTAACAACTGGGATCTCACCTTATTAAGAAGCTTCTGTACTGCCAAAGAAACCACCAACAGAGCTAAGAGACAACCTATGATGTGGGAAAAAAATTTTACCAGCTACTTCTCAGACAAAGGACTATTATCTAGAATATATAAAGAACTCAAAAAAGTCAGGCTCCCTAAATATAAAGAAAGAATTAAAAAACGGGCATCTGAAATGAACAGACATTTCTCAGACAAAGAAGTAAAAGCAACAAGTAAATATATGAAAAAATGGTCAACATCATTGGTCATTCGAGAGATGCAGATGAAAACAACACTGATATTTCACTTCACCCCAGAAAAAATGGCTGCTATCAAGAAATCAACCAATAACAAATGTTGGTGGGGTTGTGGGGAGAAAAGAACTCTTCTCCAATGTTACTGAGAGTGCAGACTGGTGCAACCACTGTGGAAATCAATACGGGGATACCTCAATGAACTAGGATTAGAGATTCCATTTGACCTAGCTATCCCTCTGCTAGGTATCTTTCCAAAAGAATTTAAAAAATCATACTACAGTAATATATGCATGCCCATGTTTATAGTGGCACAGTTTGTAATAGCTAAAGCTTGGAAACGGCCCAAATGCCCATCATTTGGGGACTGGATAAAGAAGATATGTGTTTTTTTAAAAAAATAAAATGGAGTACTATTCAGCCATAAAGAATGAGAAACTGCAGTCATTCATAGGAAAACAGATGCATATTGAGGCCATACTCTTAAGTGAAATACATAAGACACACATGTGTTAATACTGAATAGTTTCTCTGGTGTGAAAAAATAAAAGTGTAAATAAGATCCAAATTGTTTAACTGAAAATGTGAAATAGGAAGAAAAGTGCTAAAGGTATAGGGGAAGTGGGAAGGGTAGAGGAAAGGAAATAAGGGAAAAGAGAACATATGAGAAAAGGGAAAAATGGAAACAAAGTCTTTGTAAATAGGGGAGGGTGGAGGGGTTGCAGAGAAGGCAGTGGTATGGGGAAAAAATAAGAACCAAGATCTGTCATGTAAAGGTACAAGATCCCAATGATGAATGTAACTGTACTGTATACCTAAAATGTACCAATAAACTCAATGAAAAAAAAGACCAAACAATGCAAATCTGAAACCAATAGAAAGAAAAAAAATTATAAGATCAGAGTAGAAATTAATGAAATTGAGACTAAAAAAATAAAGGATCAATGAATCAGAGTTGGCTCTTTGAAAGGATATGTAAGGGTTCTGGGACTGAGGAGGTAGAAGGAGAGAGGGGGAAGGAAAAGTAAGGAGTGACATGGGATACATATATGAATTAATTCTCCCAGGATGACTGTTTTAAATTTATGGCAAAAAGTAATATGGAGAAAGCAACTGTTTCCTCGCCAGCATACAACCTGAAACATACAATCACTTTATTTTTATTTTTTTGGTACTGGGGATCAAACTGGGGACCTTGTGCTTGCGAGGCAGGCAGCAGAGCCACTGAGCTAAATCCCCAGCCCCGTGCACTGACTTTAAATATAAACGGGCTTATATTTACACATTTTGTATGTTAATTTCAGTAGGATAAAACTTCATTTTAAAAAGATATTTTTAACTTAACATTTTAAAGAGTTCAACTTCACCAGTAACTCAATAAAGGCAAATTAAAATAACAGTATATCACTTATAAAATTTGCCACATTCTTCATGATTTTAGTTGGAGTGGGAAGCAGGTGTTTTCACATACTGCCGATACAAAATGAATCGGTCTATATCTCCAGAGCGCACTCTGACAGGGTATTTCAAAAGTTCATCCCAGAAATCCCATTTCTGATATTTTAACTTAAGGAAATAATCAAGGTTCTACATAAAAATATGAAATTACAAGGATAACTACAGCAATCCATATAATGATGAATAACTGAATATATCCTAAAATTCCCAGCAATAACTGGATAAGCATCCTATACAGACAATGGAATCTACTCCTTTTAAGAAATGAAACTGAAGGGGCCAGGGATTTAGCTGAGTTGGTACCATGCCTGCCTCCCAAGTACAAAGTCCTCAGTTTGATCCCTAGTTCTGCCAAAAAAGAAAGAAAGGAAGGATGGACGGAAGGAAGGAAGGAAGGAAGGAGAAATGATGCTGAAGAAAGATAGTTATTGGCACACAAATTGTTCATTATATAGTTTTAAGGGAAACAATACATGTATATTATATTAGACTTTCACTAAAGAAAAAAACGTATGCTTAGAGAAGGCTAAAAAGCTATCTAACAAAATGTTAAGACATGAGCATCTGTTTCTTGAAGGTAGAGTAACAACATTTTTTTGTACTTTTCTGTATTTTTAAATTTTTCTTCAAGGAATATATATTTCTAAGTAAATTAAAAGAAGTAAGTTGGGGAGAAAGGAGAGAGCCCAATAGTTTCTTAAAATTAGGAACCCCATAGGGTTTTTAAAAATCGTGTCCTATGTGCCTGTGAAAGCAATTCAGTTTTGAATTTGTTGGTTATTTATGGTAATTAGGATAGCTTAAGTCTTTCTAATAAGAAAAACTTCAGGACCAGTAATGCTAACTGGCTTATGACTGGGTTGAATTGTATTTCTGTTTTCATTTTAGTATCCTTTATGTAAGATTGTAGGAATTCTTCAGTATATGAGTGAACAGGTTATTCATGTATGTTTGGATTAATATGTTTAAAAAGTATAAAAATTTTAGACAAAAAATTATTAAGCAGTTGCAGATATGGGACCTAGTACTAAATACAGAGAGTACCAGTTGACAAGTTTCCCTTATTGTATCTTGCAAGCATTGTAATACATTCTATAGCCTCTTCCATGTAAGAGAATAAAATAAGCATTTAATTTAGCTTTCTTTTAATTAAGTCATTTCTTAATCACTGAGAATAGCCTTTCTACCTGCAATGTGATGACTTAATTCCTACTTCCAGAAGATATCTTACTCTTTAATTCCAGACTTGCATTCTGCCCACTCAACCACAAAGTAGTTGTGTGACTCCTGATAAGTTATTTAACTTCTATGTGTTTCAGCTTTCTTATCTGCAAAACAGAGGAAGTGTTGTCTACCTCACCATTTTGTAAGGACTAAATAAATTAACAGAAATAAAGCATTTAGTGCCTGATATATAATAGACATTCAGTAAATATTATTACTGTTTTGAAATATTCATTATTTTCACAAAATGTCCTATAAGTCAATATATTCCAAACAATATATTTGTATACTTGCTCAAAATATTTCTTGCTGTTTTTTTTACAGACATAATGCAATAAGAATCATCCCTTTACCCAAGGTATGCACTTGAGTTAGAAATCTTGGTGTCATAATACACTATTCCTCTTTCTTCCACACCATTCAAAATATCTTCAAATTCCCCTTCTGAAATATCAGCGACTTCTTTTACTAGATAGTGGTTTTCTTTGATGTTCATTATTCTTTATAATGAAGATAAAATAAAAAATAATTAAATAGTAAGTTATAGGCTTGAAGTCTAATGGACCATTTCAGAGCAATTAAAAGCTATTGCTGTTCTATAATAATTACAGCAATATTAATGTTTTTGTGTTTAAAAACATATTGAGACTGTAATTATGAAAAAGGTATGTAGTTACATAAATACTAAAATGCAACTGGAATTTATACTATAATCATTCCTAAAACTGAAACAAATGTTTTATAAAAAGTACCCTCACCTAGATGATCACTGCACAATAACAGACATTCAATTATGAGTTAAGATTTTACAACATGTTTCAAAGTCGCAAGTACCTTTGTGTAAACTTCAAATATGGAGTATAGTCTATTACAGCAGGGAAACTGCCATCCAAACCTTCTCCCTTTAGGCAGAAGCTAAAAAGTAGACAATAAACATTCTGTATCAATACATAAACATGACATAACTTCAACTGTTATATACAATTCTTGCTGAACATCATTCATCCCATTTTAGGTCAATTTTCTTTTATTTGCAATTTGTTACCTGTTCCCTAAAACTCCTCAAAAATATTCTACCAATGACAAAGCACTGTACAAACACACTGTTACATAATATTTTATCAAGAGGCAAAAGTAAAAATTTGTTTCAAATGATGATTTGTTTTGTACATTTAGAAGCAAGTTCTCAGATGATACTATATACCCCCTAAAACATCTGATGGATTAGAAAACAAGAGGAAAAGGCTTGGATTTTAGTCCTAGGATGGATGCTGGAAATCCTCTCCTTTCCAGTCGACCCTTCAGCTGATATGAACAAGGCAAAGGCCAAGAGATTATTGCCCAGACTCAGGTGATGAGTCTTGCAGAGCTAATAAAGGAAATCTAGCCCTCGGTTGATTTTAAATGATGGAACAAACCAAAAAAAGAAAAAAAAAACTTCTTTAGTTTTATGATTTCTATTGTTAAAATAATAAAAAACATCTAGAAAGATGTCTGTTATATAAAAGAAAGGGACATCCTATAGGTATACAAATAAGGTGTAGGGTGAACTTTCAAAGGAAAAAGTCATCTACAAACTACCACCTTCTAGCTTGTTTCACAAGTCTGTTTACTGAAATACCTGTTCCACTGTATTAATATTGATATTTTTCCAGACTTAAACAGGGTACAATTAAAGTGACAATGCTTTATATGGGCTTTCCTTAATTTACAGAAACATTCTTAATACATCTTTATGATATTTACTTTCACATGATTACACAGTGTTAATGGGTTACAATAAACCAATAGTTAACATCATTATCCCAGGCGTTTTATTTTGTTAACAAAAAGCAACAAACATATAAAACCAAGGCTTTAAAGAATTTAGACAAAGCCATGCAAAAAGTTAACAATCTCACAGGAATAAAAAACAAAACAAAACAAAACCTTTCTACCTATGAAGTTCATCCAAAAATCAAACAAATTAATACTGGTTTATTAAGTCATAACCAGAAGAAACTTATAAAATAACATTTTGAAAACTGATTTACCAGATAAAGATAACTTCAGTGAAAATGGCAGATTTTTAAATTTAAGACCTAAAGTCATTTAAATCTTATTTTGTTAATATTGCATTCTTGAATTTTCAAATCTTCTATTTCCATAAAAATATTATCTTTCATTCATTCTTTCAGTTTTCTTATAGGCAAACTTTTAAAATTTAATTTTATTGATACATTTTAGGTATACAATACGTAGACAAACTTTTAACTTTCTTTTATCTTATTTTTGCAGCCCTGGGGATTGAATTCAATACCTTCCTACGAAATACTCCACCAACTCTTTTTTTATTTTTCATTTTGAGTAAGGGTCTTGCTCAGTCTCTAAATTGCCCAGGCTAGGCTCAAAATTATGATCCTCCTTCCTCAGCCTCCCAGAGTGCTGGGATTACAAGCATGCACCACCATACCTGGTTTAAACGTTCTGCCTTTAATATAACATAAACTCTGGTATCAACTAAAGAAATGCAAAAAGATTCTTCCATAAATCTAGAAAGAATTTACAATGCCTATTTCTAGTACTTGTTATCTTAGTCTGAAACCAATCTATCTCATTGAAAATAAAAACAAATATTAAGATCCAAAACCTTCCTTCAGTGCTGGTAGCATGGTGCCTGGTGGCGGTACGAGGTGGATATAGTCTAAGCTTTCATTTTATACAAGCAAATAAGCTGTCAGTTCTTTAAGTTAGAGACCATCACTTTCTAAGAGAAAAGTCATTTAGAAAATGAACTGATTTGGAAGGGATATGAATCAAATAGATACTCAACTGTTTTATTTAGAATACTGAAAAAGAAAAATTATAAGTAGAAACTAGTAAGAAGTAGAAGTATAACAAGAAAACTTACATTTTAGTTAAATACTACATACCTGAAATCAATAGCATTTAGCCCAAGCAGCATGCCAGCTAGCATATTTGCTTCCTCACCTAAGACAATTGCTCCATCGTCGTAAAATCTCCTGAGAGTGAATTAAATATATAAAATTTAAAAGAGAATAAAGTTTGATCTCAGCAAATCATTTAGTCTGAAATAACTGTAAAATAATTATTTATTTATATAAATTTCATTTATATAAAAACTTAGATCACTGAAATCCTGAAGATACCAAAAAGAAAAAAGAAAGAAAAGCTAAAGCTGACATGATAACAAAAAGGATTCTCCCCAAGTATTTTCATCTTGATTAAAAATAATCCTCAAAATGACTTTTCTAATGGGTCTGGAGTGCCCAGAATTTTTCCCTAGTAGTAAAGCACTATGAATGTAAAGTGAAAAGTAGTAAATGCAGTCATTTATGCTGGCCTGTCTCTCAAATTACGTAGACCATAATCTTATTCTTTCCAGTATGTGGCAGTTATGGAGGAGTTTTAGTCTTGCTTTTGTCCAAGTCTTTTCTATTCCTCTATTCCTTTCTTATGGAATGGTAATATTTGCCCTGTGCCATTGCACCTTAGGGTTATATAACTTGTTTTATATTTTCACAGAGGTTCACAGCTAAGGGTTTGCCTTGAATCTTAGAATCGACTTGAACTTTTAAAAAATGCTAGAACTGTTGAGACTTTGAAGAGGTAATTGTATTTCCAGTCCTATGCAGGATATTGTGTTATGGTAGGTGGTATCTCAGTCACTTCCCTGTTCCTAGACAGAACATGTGACAAATACAATTTAAAGAGGAGAGGTTTATTTTGGCTCACAGTTTCAGTTCATGATCAGCTGGCTCAAGACAGAAAAAGGATGGCAGGGGCATCATGAAGGAAAAGCACTCACACTATGGTGACAGAAAGCAAAGAGTGAAGGGAAGAGCCAGGGAGGAAGATACACCCTTTCAGGATATGCTTCTAGTGACCCCCTTTTCTGACCAGTCTCCACCTCTGAACAGCACAAGTTCAGCTATGAACTTACAAGCAGACTATTCATGCATGAGTACAGCATCCCCATGACCCAGTCACCTTTCAGAAGCCTACCTCTGAATACATGGGGCTGTTGGGGGACACTCTAGATCTAAACTGTAACAGATGGAAGTATGAATTTGCTGTTGCATTTACTTGGGGATTAAGTATGGTATAAAGAGATGTGTTTTGGTAGCAAGTTGAAAAGGGTGGGGTATGGCAGTTAGGGTGGGGTTCAACTTGATTGGAAATCGGTGGAACAAATTTCTAGAGATGTCTGGGTGGGACGTGGAGACATGGCCTTGGGCTGTTTTAGTTTTTTGCCTTGGTCTGTTTTTTAACCTGCTTCTTCTCTAGTACTCTTGCTCTGCTCTCCTTCTTGGTTGCCATGAACAACCAGTTTTGCTCCAAGATGTGCTTCCTTCCTCTATGATGTCTCTGCCTTGGAGCCAGGAAATCATGGGCTGAAACCATGAGCTTATTAATCCTCCCCTTTTCAGTTTGTGGGTACTGGGTATTGTATCTTTTTTGTTTGTTTGTTTGTTTGTTTGTTTTTGTTTTTTTGAGACAGGGTCTCACTATGTAGTTGAGACTGATCTGGAACTCACTATGTAGCCCAGGCTGGTCTCCAAGTCACAGCGATCCTCCTGTCTCAGTCTCCTGAGTGCTGGGATTAAAGGTGTGCACCACCACGCCCGGCAGGGGTACTGTATTTTAATGACAAGAAAACTGTCTAATATAATTTATAACAAAAGAATTTATTACAAGGGTTACTGATTTAAATTAAGAAGTTGGAAGGTGTGATCACTACTAATACAGTATATGCTAACTTCCCCCACCCAGTATATGCTAACTTTAATAGGACAGGCTACCAAGGTGGCTACCTACAAAAAAGGAACTACTCATTATCATTTTGACAAAAATGTGAATATGGATCTGTCTTTACTAACTCATGTAAAACTTGCTGTTTTGGTTAATATTCATTTTTAAAATTCTTTTGAGAAAATAATCATAATAGAGCCTAAGGCATTTTTTATAAAACACTGTAATATGTAATAACTAGTTTATGTTTAATAACCAGATACTGTTGCATTTTTGTATCTATTTATTTTACATACCATGACTGTCACTCCACTAAAATATAACATCATTTAATAACTGAAATGTCTTGCTCCTTTTAGTATTCATAAACTTATAAAGGCTGCAAAAAGACTTAAACCATCAATTCTGAATAGTTGGTCATGGTTTGCCAATTTTTTTTTTTTGTGGTAGAGGAGATTGAACTCGGGTCCTTGCGCTTGCGAGGCAGGGCCACTGAACCGCTGAGCTAAATCCCCGGCTCTAGTTTGCCAATTTTATAAACATCATTTAATAGTTGAGAAAAAAAAATGAAGTACCTAAGATGTAATCCTTAGTCTCAAATTTACCATCAACACAAAGGTTAAAATAATTTTCTAAAGCTCATGTAAATGAACTAACCAAGGAGGCAACCCAATTCTTATTTCAAATTCTATATATCTTCTATTAAACCATATTGCTTCTTGTAAAGCCCAAACATTTAAAGAGAATTCAACCTATGGCTCATAAAGAATTTTAAATGAATAAGAAGTATGATGATGAAAATAAGAGACAGCTATTTACCTCTGACAGATATAAGGCTGTAAGCAAATATGGTAGGGGCTAACCTGGAATACATACTGTACTCAAGAGCTGCTTTTACTAATTTACATAAAAGAGAAACACTAAAATCTCCAGCCTAAGAAAGGCTAGTAAAATAAGTAAGGTCTTCTAAATATTCATTTGAAATATTTCATGAATAGTTACTTAGAAAAGTACATGCTCCTGAGATTTGTGTCCCCACCCCATGACTAAATTGTCTGTTGGCAGAATACATTACCGAATCCTGGAAGAACCATGTTTCCAGTGATTCTAGACCATCATATTTTGTGGGACATATTCTTTTAAAAGGAATTCTGTTTCTTAATACTGGGAATCACCCATTATTCCTCTATTTCTTATGTAAGGAAAAGTCTATTTTTAAAATTTCCTGTAATGAGCCCACCATGGTTTGTAATTATACTCCAAGAGTCAGGTCAAAAATATTCTTGCTTGCTTATCAGTGTCATCATTGTGTTAAAGACTGCTGAATGATAACAAAAACAAAATTAGCTAATTTCAAAATTTTTTAAAAGTCTAAATATCTTTTATATTTTTGTACACAAAATATTGTTTTAATGAGATAGGGGCTCTTTACTTTTACTCAGCAGTAAATGCATCATTTTTACAATTAATGAGTTTTTTAAAAAAACAGGTGAAATGCTAACTATATGTGAAGTCAATGATTCTACTCAAATAAAATAATAACTCAAGCAACACTGCACAGGCCTGATTTAATATAACAGCAACACAGGACAAATTAAGTAGAAAAGGGTAGTTAAGACAACTGTCCATATTAAGGTTAATTTTTTTCATTATTAGTTCTGGTTAGGAAAAATGCATTTTTCAGGACATGTACTTCTAAGTTTGAGATAATATATTTTAAAAAAAATTAGTACATAGAAAACAACTGAACTAATATGAAAATAATTTTCTTATCTTTAATTGAAGATTTAAGTCATTTTTAAGTATTAAATAGGTAGAAACTATTTGGGAAAATTAATTCTGTATGCCTTAAACTAAGATACAAATAATTTTTTACTCTAAATCTGATTCTTGTTATAATTACTTTCAAAAGATAATAAAAGTTCAATGATTTCATTTATTTACATTAGATGATGTCATTAAGTACAGTTTTGAATTTTAAAAGGAAAAATTACAAGTAATTACTATAATCTGGAATAAAATATTCCAGTTTTTATTAAGTATCTTACCTTATCATCCCAATCCTCTACTCCCTGCGGACTGGGGATTAAATGTAGGGCCTCACACTGAGCTAGGTCCCCAGGCCCCCCCCCCCGCTTTAAGAATGATTGTTTGTGGTATGGGAGACTGAGCCCATAGGAGCTACATTCCCAGCCCCGCCTTTTTTTTTTTTCAATTTTGAGACAGTGTCTTGTTAAGTTGCCCATGCTGGCTTCTACTTGCAATTCCCCTCCCTCAGCCTCCCAAGTAACTAGGATTACAAGTGTATGCCATCACACTTCGTTTACGTATACTCTTTCCAATTGTTTATATGCTGGCTAGAAAATTCTCCTTAGGTACAAATATTTAAAATAATGCACTTCTAAGACAATACACTTGCAAACTGAATTGTCCATGAACAGAAGCATTCATGAGCAAGGTATTACTGTAACCGCACATTTCTTTTCTAGGATTAAGGGTGGTACATAATTGGTTCTTATGGTATGTTAATATCTAATTTGTATTGGATGATACTATTCTAGCTGATTCACTTGAAATTGTTGCTATTTCTCTGTAAGCCAACATTCAGATTGCATTTGTGACATTAACAACACTGGATTACATTTCCAGAAAACTTGGGTGCTGGGCTAACTGTGCTGCATTCTCCCCTCCTGAATAAATCAAGGTGGGCAGATCATGGGCTGAGGCAAAGAATTAGAGTTAGCTATGGCCAAAGTACATCACTGAAAATCAACTAACCAGATCTCTATACTAGCAACCAAGTCTTCACACTATAAGAATTCACAAACCTCAGCAAGAAACAAATAGAAACATGAGACAACAAGACAACATGCCTCTCAAAACTCCTAACTACCCCAGGACCAATGCAGTGGGTACTTGAAGGCCAGAATAGTATAAGCAACACCAATTTGTCAAGAGGATAACAGAGGAAGTTATAAAAGAGCTCAAAGAGATACTCAAAGATTAGAGAAGATATAACTAAACAGATAATGGAAATAATTAAAAACAAACAGAAACTTTAAGAAGACACTAATAAAAAGATAGATAAGCTAAACAAAATGTTGCAACATGAGTGATCAGTTTACCAAAGAATTAGAGTCCATGAAAATATTTCTAATAGAAATCCAGGAGATCAAAAATCATGCAAAAAGTATGGACAGCAAAACCAAACAATGTGAGGACAGAATTTCAATGATGTCTTCACAGAAGA